ATACTTTGACGGTGCACACATGTGAGAGTATAACTAATAGTGAAGCTGTTCTGTTGCAGGGTATGGGCAGGATGGAATTTCTATGTTTCCTAGGAGGACACCCCACTCCACCCACTATCTGAAATAAAAAGACAAAGCTGGTGGCGGGCGGTGGCTCACACCTGTAATCCCAGCACTTTGGGAGGCCAAGGCGGGTGGATCACGAGGTCAGGAGATCGAGACCATCCTGGCCAACATGGTGAAACCCCGTCTGTACTAAAAAAACACAAAAATTAGCTGGGCGTGGTGGCATGCACCTGTAGTTCCAGCTACTCGGGAGGATGAGGCAGGAGAATTGCTTGAACCTGGGAGGCAGAGATTGCAGTTAGCCGAAATTGCGCCACGACACTCCAGCCTGGTGCCTGGCGACAAAGGGAGACTCTGTCTCAAAAAAAAAAAAAAAAAAAGAAAAGAAAAAGACAAAGCCGATTGAGCGACAATAGTTAGGAAGAGCCACGTTGGTCAGGCACAATCTTACTAAGCAGAGCAGACTCTTGATCTTATTTATGCATGGATTTGGGAAGCTGGGAGTTCAGGGGTTTGTGGACTTTCAGAATGTTGGGGATTGTTGACAGATTAAGAAACATGATGCTCAGGTAAGACTGTTGTTGATTGGTTGGGAATCACTTATTAGAATGAGTCTGTTCCTAATTGACTGAAAGTCAGAAGTGAGAGGCTGTTATTGATTGGTTGTTTTGAAGAGCATGTTTACCAGAGGTGGGTTGTCATTGATTGATTGAACTGTTTAAAATATGGGTAGCTAAATATTACCAGGGTTACAGAAAAATCAGTTTTTTGTTGTTTTTTTTTTTGAGACGGAGTTTCCCTCGTTACCCAGGCTGGAGTGCAATGGCGCAACCTCGGCTCACCGCAACCTCCGCCTCCTGGGTTCAGGCAATTCTCCTGCCTTAGCCTCCTGAGTAGCTGGGATTTCAGGCACGTGCCACCATGCCCAGCTAATTTTTTGTATTTTTAGTAGAGACGGGGTTTCACCATGTTGACCAGGATGGTCTCAATCTCTTGAGCTCATGATCCACCTGCCTCGGCCGCCCAAAGTGCTGGGATTACAGGCGTGAGCCACCGTGCCCAGCCCAATAATTTCTAATATCATCACAAGTGTTAAAATTGTCCCTATTCTCTTTTTCTGTCTATGATTTCCTCATTTGATTCAAACTCTAAGTAAAGTCTACACATGACATTTCGTTGATAAATTTTGTAAATCTCCTTTAATCCATAGATCGCCCCCTCTCTTTTTTCCTTTCCTCAGAATTTATTTGTTAAATAAACCAGGTTCTTTATCCAGTGGAACTTCCTTCCTACAGCCTGCATCTGGCTGACTGCATTCCTGTGGTACATTTGACATGCCTCCCTATGCTTCATAGTTCCTGGAAACTGGTAGGTAGAGCTGATGGCCTTATAAGACCTAAGCCTGATTTTTTACAAGAATACTTTAGATGTTATGTCGTCCATTTCCAACAGGATGTGTAAAATGTCTGATATACTCTCCCCTTCTCTCTCTTCATAATATTAAGATTGATTAGTTATCATCAGGCTATCCATCCATTACAAAGTTTCTCATTAGCTTTTCAGCATTGATGACTCTTGCTCAGATCCTATCCCATTATGGGTTTCAAAACAGTCTCCTGCCATCTTTTCTGCAGTTTAGAGGATGGCACTGGCTTCACAGAGGAAGATGCAGAGAAAACAGGAGGAAAGCAGGCCCCAGGTAGGAAAGCAATAACATTGCTGAAGCAAAGGTTTTGTGCATTTAAAAATTTGAGCGGTATTGCAAAATTGTGCTCTAAAGAGGTTAAACCAACTTAACACTTTTCAATAAATGCCTGTTTCTACATACCCTTTGCCAATTTGATAGGTGAAAAACTGCACCTCATTCTGGTTTACAATTGTTAATTTTAAGTGCAGTGGACCATATTTTCAAATATATATTCGTAATCTGTATTTTTTCTTTTGTGAAAATCTGTTGCTATTTTTTCCCATGTTTTCTATCAATTTTTTTACATCTTTTATTTTTTAAAGAATTCTTTGTATATTAAAGCAGTGAGTTCCTTATCTGTCATATCATATGTGTTACAGATATTTTTCCCAGATTATTGTCTTTTGACTCTGATCAGGATACTGTTTGCTTTGTAGAAGGTTTTTCATTGTTACAATGCACTTATCAAATATTTCCTTCATAGCTTCTGGGTTTTTAAACGTTCTTTGAAAAGTCTAACAGATGACCATTAAAAATCATTCATGATTTCTCCTAGTATTTCTATGGTTTCAGCTCTTTTCTTTTCTTTCTTTCTTTCCTCCTTCTCCCCTTTTACGTACAAATGTTTGGTTCACTTTGATATGGATTGAACTTTTATTTATTTATTTTGAGACAGGGTCTCACTCATTCAGGGTGGAGTGCAGTGGCATAATTATAGCTCACTGTAACTTCAGACTCCTGGGTTCAAATATTCCTTCTGCCTCAGCCACCCAAGTAGCTGGAACGACAGACACATGCACCATGCCTGGCTAATTTTTAAAATGTTTTTGTAGAGATGGGATTTTGCTATGTTGCCCTGGCTTACCTCAAACTCCTGGCCTCAAGCAATCCTCCTGCATTGGCCTCACAAAGTGCAAGAATTACAGGCATGAGCCACTAGGCCTAGATTGAACTTTTATTTCTTGCCAGATGTTGTCTCAATACTGTTAATAGAACGACGTATATTTTCTCTAATCATTTAAAGTAGTGCTTCTATTGTGTACTACATGCTGAATGTATTTGTGTCTATTTCTGAATCACCTGTTTTGTTCCACTTATCTATTCTTTTAGTACATTGACTCAGATCCATGGTGTATTCAATGCTGGCATTCTGCATTGTACACATTAGATGCATCCTTGAAAGGCTGTATGTGAAGCAAAAACAATTGGGTCCATAATCTCACTGGCATCCTTTAGTTATTGTTACATAACATACATCCCAAAACTCAGTGGCTTCCAATGACAGCCAGTTACTCCCACACATTCATAGGGTGTGCTGGGCTGGGTTCTGCGGGGGCAGTTGTGCTCTGCATGGCGTCCATTCCCTTCCTAGGGCAGCAGGATCATCTGCCTCATGGTGATGCAGAAACACAGAAAGTAGTGTGCAAAGACGAAGGTTGCAGAGGACCCAGGCTTTCCCCACCCACTGCCCCTTCTTCCTCATCTTAGTGGTCAAAGCCACAAAGCTAAACCCAAAATCAAGGGTGAGGAAAGTTTCCTTTGCCCCCATGAGACATGGAAAAGCTGTGGACACAGAGAAGGTGAAGAACTGGGACCACCATCCCAATCTCCCACAGCTACTGACACATAATTTAAATGGGGACACTTCCATAGAAAATTCTAGGTCCTTGTCTAATATTAAGCTAAAAAGGAGCTGCTAACATATATTTGAAACACACTGAAAATTTAAGTACCCAGAAAAGTACAGGGTAACATAACATCCATGTGTCTATCTCTAATAGTTAACAAATTAATATTTTTACATATTTGCTTCTGATCTTTCTGTTTAAGAAATAAAATGTTTTAGAGTTTATGTACTCTGTATACCCTTCCATGGTTTTCTCTCACTATCCAGAAGTAATTACTATCTTAAAGGTAGTCTACACACATTTTTATTATATATGCAGCATTCATGAAGATTAATACACTTCTTTCTTTTCAAATTTTAAATATTATAAATGGTATGATACTCTATATATAATTCTAAATTCAACAGTATATCTGGAGATCTAGCTGTATTAATACATATAGATTGTCTTCTTCTAAATTGTTATATTTTACTCCATTGTATGACTGTATTAGTCTGTTCTTGCATTGCTATAAATAAATACTTGGCCGGGTGTGGTGGCTCATGCCTGTAATCCCAGCACTTTGGGAGGCCAAGGCAGGTGTATCACAAGTTCAGGAGTTCAAGACCAGCCTGACCAATATAGTGAAACCCTGTCTCTACTGAAAAAAAAAAGAATACAAAAATTAGCCAGGCATGCTGGCAGACACCTGTAGTCTCAGCGACTTGGGAGGCTGAGGCAGGAGAATTACTTGAAACCAGGAGGCAGAGGTTGCAGTGAGCCAAGATCACACCACTGCATTCCAGCCTGGGTGACAGAGCAAGGCCCCATCTCAAAAAAATAAAAGAAAGAAAGAAAAAGGAAATACGGTTCTGAGTCTGTAGAGAAATCATGGCAGTTTCTTGGGAGGTCTCAGGAAACTGACAATCATGGCAGAAGGTGAAGGGGAAGCAGGCAGGTCTTGCATGGCTGAAGCAGGGGGAAGTGAGAAGAGGGGAGATGCTACACACTTTTAAACAACCAGATCTCACCATAACTCACTCACTCATTATAACGACAACAGCGCTAAGGGGTTGATGCTAACGCATTCATGAGAACTCTGGCCCCATAATCTAATCACCTCTCACCAGGCCCCACCTCCAACACTGGGGATTACAACTGAACATGAGGTTTGGGTGGGGACACAGATCCAAATCATATCAATGACTGTACCATAATTCATCTTTTTCCCTTTACTGATGGATGCTTTCAATGGTGTTAACTTACCATTATCATTAACAAGAAAGCATTTAAAAATCACATATTTAAGGTAAATACATGCAATTTTATCAAAATATTAAAGTTATTTGCAAATATTACACAGATGAAATATAGCTAAACTGATAATTCAAAAACACCTAAGGGATATATTAAGGAATATGTTATAAAGGGCCACACATTATTAATAATCAATTTTCTTCCAAAATATGTCCTATCAAGGAAATAAAAGACAGATCTACCCCCAGACAGTACTAAATGTTACATCATTCACACGAATATTCTCCTACAAGCCACAGCCCAGAAGACTGTCAATATGCACCTAGCCTTATCATTTTCTGTTAATATTTAGTTAGTTTGCTAATATAATTGCTTCTTCAGATCAAAGGTTTTTACATAGGTCCTACATGCAAATCAAATAGCTATCCATGGAATATTAGAACTTGACTTGCTCCATTCTCATACTTTTTGTGTCTCACGCTAAAGAAATGAGAGATGCAGAATTCTAAGGCTAAATAGCTAGGAAGTATTCATTCAAGCTTGAATATTCTTCAAAGAGAGTGTGGGGGCAATTCTAATCGGAGGAAGAAACATAAGGGAAGTCAACCCAGATGTTTTCCACCAGAGCCCTCCTTTTGGCTGGTCTGATTTCCACTGGTAAGTCAAAAGTGCAATTTTAGAATGTTGGTTCACTTTTAAAAACTGATTTCAGGGGAAGATTAAAAAGTCATTAATAGCACAATCACAACAAGTACATGTATTTGGCTTTTAAAAATGAGATTGAAATGATATGTGGTCCTGAGGATGTTCTAAATAATTTACAATGAAATGTTCTTGTACTTTAAAGAGGGAAGCATAAGAGTGGGTTGAGAAGACATTACAAAGCCTTTCAGTCTTGGTCTGGGACTTACTGAAACAAAACTAGATAATAAAAAGTTGACATAAGAATTCAATTCTGATTTTGATCACAATCAAATTCCGATACAGATATCTAATACAGAGACTAGTGTGGATTAGGACAAAGTGAATGCTCCCTTAATACTCATAGAAGAAGAAAAAAGTGAATCAATTACTACACTGTCTGATATTTGCCTCAATTCCCAAGGATATAGATTAGTTTCCAAAGTGATGGAATTATATCTTGATCAAGGTGTTGACTTGGAGCTTGGCTACAAGGCCTAAAACTTTTGAAACCCAGCTTTTAAAAATATTTTTAAAAATAGGCTTAACGGTCAAGTTCTGTAGTTTCCCTTCACAGCATATGTATTAACAAAGAGTAAAATGTCTTTAAATAAAATCAATAGTCAAATTACCAGGCTCTTGCTCCTGCTTGTTTGTTTCAAAGTGCAAGGCTGAGTGTGCTCACTGTATCTCTCTGTAAATGTTAACACCGAAACTTCAGGACGTTTAATTCAACTGAACATTTGTCAAGTGCTTGCTATACTAAAGAGACATATTGTGCCTAAAACAAAGTTTGCACCAAATCCACCGAGAAAGCAGCCTCCCTCCATGTTTCATAATTTTTCATATAATTGGTTCTACTCCTTTTCCCACCTTTTCTCCTCATCTCAGTCTAGGCTAACTTGGTTTGACATTTCAGATTATTTCTAAGAATCTCCCTCTTCTATGTTTGCAACTGTGAAAGAGATTTATCTAGTGTTAAACAAACTTATCTAGTTCAGAGTTTATTTCTCCTTTAATTCTAACAGTAGGATTTGATTAGTAGAACTAACCATCTCAACATTACTTTAGAACTTCTCAAATTATTTTCTGAGCCATGCTGTTTTATTATTTTTGCTTAATCTAACAATAGTGATCCCCAGGCCAGTAATGAGCAAAGAAAAATAGAAAAGCACAACTGATACCATTTACTAATGGATCTGAAGCAAAGTATATTGATGGAGACTAATGCTTATAAAGAAATACATTCACTGATACGCTAACGTCACGCAGCAGATTCTGTAGCCAGAGAAAAAGCCAATTTTACATCTGAATCAGGATATAAAATTCTGGAAAGCCAACCTTCCCATAGACTACAGAAAGTTCAGGGAAAGTTACAGTGAAAACAGAATTGTCAGGATCCAGTGACTAATATGGCAAATGGAGATTGGAAATGTCTGAGGCCAGGAGCTCTGCTCTCACATTTCTCCTTTGTAGCACTGGCCGGGCCATGGGCTAATATATGTGCTGGCAAGTCTTCCAATGAGATCCGGACGTGTGATCGCCATGGCTGTGGACAGTACTCTGCTCAAAGGTATGGGGTTGCACAAAGCACCATCCAACTCTTTGGTCCCTAAATCTTTTTTTTTCCTTTTTTTTAGATGGAGTCTCACTCTGTTACCCAGTCAGTCGCCCAGGTTGGAATGCAATGGTGCCATCTGAGCTCACTGCAACCTCCACCTCCTGGGTTCAAGTGATTCTCCTGCCTCAGCCTCCTGAGTAGCTGGGATTACAGGTGCTCGCCACCATGCACGGCTAATTTTTATATTTTAAGTATAGACAAGATTTCACAATGTTGGTCAGGCTGGTCTCAAACTCCTGACCTCGTGATCTTCTTGCCTCAGCCTCCCAAAGTGCTGGGATTACAGGTGTGATCCAACGCACCTGGCCCCAACCTCTTTTTTCAGTGTCCTTGCCCAATGTTGGCTGCCTCAAAGCCTCACAATTCTGACCGTATGAAAAACCAGAGATGTAACCAGTTACACCACTGTCTTTGGAGCAGCTTCCAAGAACTCTGCTTCAAGTATGGGCTGTGAATTGGGATCCAAACATGGAAGAAGGAAAAGAGCAGGGAGCAAACACAATATTTTTTTTTTCTGAATGTCTTCACAAATCGACTTATCTCACCTGGTTTTTCCAAAGGGGAATCAGACATGGCTATACCATTTTAGAGATGAGGAACTTGAACTGAGGTGCCAAAAGGTTAAGGGACCTGCCAAGCACTGTTGGAGATGGTGAAGGCTGCTGGACCTGAATTCAGGGTTTTTGGTCCTTTTCCTACCGAACCACAGTGTTACTGCCCCAGGCTCTGGAGGTTGAATATTAAAAGCTGACCCTAAGCAGGTGAAAGAGCACTACTATCTCTTCCAGACAATGAGGGTCACACTTGTGAATTTTCAGTTATACCCAGTATCACCTTGGGGTCCCACTCTGATGAAATAGCCATGTGTCAGTCATTTCAATGATCTCCATCCTCACTAGAGGGGAACTCTCAAATATACAGACACTCCTTACAAAGCAACCTCAAATACTGAAACAGGACTAAGAGAAGGGAAATATGGGAAAACGTCCCCTTAATTGCCAAAATTTAGACTCAGCTCATACCATAAAGTGTACTCACTTAACTATCGGTAACTTCTTGGCTGTTGTCTTGAGCCTGCTCAGTGTTGCTTTGTACATAATTATAGCAATCCTGGTGAAGCTGGTTGTTCAGGTGGCAGCCTATTAGAATGGAGGAAGGGCTGGTGAGAGCAAGCATAGTGACAGCAGCACGAAGGAAGAGCTGAGGGGTTGCTAAGACAAACTCAAGACACATCACAATCTGGAATTGTTTTGTTTGGGCTCCATGCACTTTAATAAACCCAGGAGGTATCACTTACTGTATTAAAATACCATATGTAGTAAGTGCTGTTTACAATCACTTTTCTAGATCACCGAGGGAAAAATAAGACTAGGGCAACATGCGATACATTCCCATAAAAAGACAGCTGTTTTCAAAGTGGGCTTGAAGAAGTCGAGATCTAGGCATCTAGAAAATGCACTTACATGGACTGCCTCATTCCCCCCAAATGCCATACAGTAATAGTAGCTAATATTTATTTAAGGCTTACTATGTACCAATTACCATTTTAAATGCTTTCATCTTTACAACATTGTTAGCAGCACCTGTGGAAGGGAGGTTAAAATTGGGCTAAACAGAGTGAGAAATACTGGAACATCCCAACTAGTTCTGGCAGCTTCAAGCTTTCGTAGCTGGTTTGGGATCAGAGGGCTAACACCGTGTTCCTGGGCCATACAGCTCCCCAGGTCAGCTCCTCCGTCTGTTCATTGTTATTTACATCCTAGAAGTCAGAGGCCTCACCAGGGTGTGGACGTCTTGTGCTCTGTTGGATCTACTGTGTACGCACCATTCACCGGAATGATTATGGGCCAGGAGAAACCTTATCAAAACAAAAATGCTATCAATAATGGTGTTCAAATATCTGGAAGAGGTAAGAGAGGTGGAGTCTACACCTAGGGTGCCTACTGGAGATGTTGATGCTCATTTGTTTAATGCAGGTCCTATACACAGAGGTTTTGTTCCTCTATCAAAATGATAAAACCTAGAACAGAAACTATATAGACTATACGTAACTAGCTGATGCATTTTTTAAAAATTTTATTTCAGTTCCAGGGCTACATGTGCACATTTGTTATACAGGTCAACTGCATGTCACAGGGGTTTGTTGTGCAGATTATTTTCTCACCCAGGTAATAAGCATAGTAGCCGATAGGCATTTTTTTAATGATCCTCTCCTGCTGATGCACTTTCAAGGTCTCACTTTCCCTGAAAACTTCTGCTTCATGCACACACTCCATGAAACCCTACAGCTTACTGGAGGCATTCCTTCCTGTGGCCCATGTGGTTTTGCTTAACAATCTATAAACAAAGCCACTTTCAGCAATGCTAACCATAATGGATAGATACTTCCATTTACTCAAATCCCACAAATCATAAATGCTGGCATTTCTGCAAGAGTTGAATGTGAAAGATTTTTGAAAGCTACTAAGTTTTAGGTGAAGCTAGGTCTCCTGGTACTCCAGGTATTGGCTTTGTTGTTTGATTGTTTTAATTGCATCAGGGTATAAAATAGACACATAAAAGTGCACAACACATCCATGTACAACTCCATGAACTCCATCAAGTGAATACATTGGTGTAACCAGCACCCAGATCAAGAAAAAGAACATCACCAGCATCCCAGAGATCCCTTGTGCTACCATTTAGACATTATTCCCAGCAAGGTAATCACTATCCCAAGTTCTAAAACCATGTATTAGCTCTTCCTGTTTCTAAAAGTGGTATAAATAGAATTAAACAGCATGCCTTCTTTTTGTGTGACTTCTTTCATTCCACATCATGATTGTGTAATTTATGTTTTTATATCCACATTCTTTTGGATACATGATATTCTATTATATGCATATACTTTCATCTATGTATCCATTCTTCCTTAGATGGACCTTTGGGTAGTTTCTGGTTTTAGGTGATTGTAAAATTGCTCCTATGAATCTTCTTATACCTTTTAATGAACATATATAGGCATTCCTATTGGGAATGCCTGCCTCACCAAGCCTGTGAGAGGTGTCTTGTGAGGGAACCCACATCCTTGAGGAGCTATGCACTGGTTGTCCCCTGTGGGCCCAATGTCACAAGAGAAACTTCTGCCATTGAACTGGGTCCTCTGAAGTGGCCCTTAACAGTCAATGCCAAGGTCACCAAGAGCAAAAGCAGTAATCAGATTCGTCTATACCTTAGAGATTCGTGACATTGGCTAGTAATCACTGGGACCCTAGAACTGAAAAGATGAGCAGCCAACTAAAGACTTATTGGACTTGTATGAATGCAAATGCTCTAGATCTGATGAACAAAATGCTGACTTTGGTCATTTGAGTTGGTTCACAGTCCCAGAGCCTCTTGAGTGAAAGGGAGGCTCAGTCCTTTTGAGTAAGGGTCCTGCCATGCAGCCAAAGATTTATAATGTAAACCTTACTTCTAGCCATCCCAAAGGGACCTGTAATGGTTTAGCAGGATGACAGCACCTTGGGGAAGAAATTATTAGGCTCTTCAGAGATGATTGGATACTTGCTCAAAACTGACACTAACTCCTGGAGATCTAAAAGGCCACTGTGGTTCACCAGACTAGAGGCTTATAGTCAGGTGGTCACTGTAACTTTTCAGCAGGGTCCAGCTTATACTAAGCCCAGTGCATCCTCAAATCTACCAAGAGGTTATTTCCCCAGTTCTGGAATGCAAAATTGGAATAGACTTTCTTCTTCTTTCAGGTTGCCTTGGCAATTCTTGGTCATTTGCATTTCCAAATAAATTACAGCATCTGTTTGCTAATTTCCACCAAAAATCCTGACAGGACTTTGACTGAATCTGCAGTAAATATGCAGATCAAATTGATAAATGATATTTTTAAAGCAGTGAGTCCTCCAGTCAATGAACATATTCTATCTTCCATTTACTTAGGTCTTCCTTCACTGTTACATTAATGGTTGTTGTAGTTTTCCGTGTCGAAGTCTTGTACATCTTTTGTTTAATATATATTAATGAAACCTACCTGAGGGAGTTTTAGCTCTTCTACAGTGCGGCCATCCAATGGAAATATAATACAAGTCATACATAGAATTTTAAATTTTCTAGTAGCCATAATAAAGAAGTAAAAAGAAACATGATATTTTAATATTTTATTTAACTCTAGTTTTCAAAATATTATATCAATATGTAATTATTGAGCTATTTTACATTTTTAAATACTAAGTCTTCAAAATCCATTGCATACTTGACCATTAAAGCACATCTCAATTCAGATTAACTAGCTTTCACGTGCTGAAATACCACATGTGGCTAGTGGCACCACATCGGACAGCATCATTTTACAGTCTTATTTTTCTGCTCACTTGACTGGTGTGCAGTGCCAGTAGTGTATTAAAGTCTCCTATTATTGGTGAGTTTCTATCCATGTCTCCTGGCGTCTTGTAGTCTTTGCTTTATATAGATGAGTTGTGTTATTTAGTGTACGGATAGTTGTAAGTGCTATATGTTCATTGTGACTTGTGGTATTTACCCTCGTACATTATCTTCCTTTATCTTGTTTCAGTGCCTTTTGGCCTGAATTCCAGTCTGTGATAACAGGGCGATAGCCCTTGCTTTGTTTTTTGTTTTTCTTTTTTGAGACGGAGTTTCGCTCTTGTTACCCAGGCTGGAGTGTAATGGCGTGATCTCGGCTCACCACAACCTCCGCCTCCTGGGTTCAGGCAATTCTCCTGCCTCAGCCTCCTGAGTAGCTGGGATTACAGGCACGCGGCACCATGCCCAGCTAATTTTTGTACTTTTAGTAGAGACGGGGTTTCACCATGTTGACCAGGATGGTCTCGATCTCTTGACCTCCTGATCCACCCGCCTCGGCCTCCCAAAATGCTGGGATTACAGGCGTGAGTCACCGCGCCCGGCCAGCCCTTGCTTTCTTATTGCTTGGCAAATCTTTGTCCAGCTCTTCACTTTCATCTTTTTCATTTGCTGTGTTTTATTCCATACAACATAAAACTGGGGTTTGCTTTTTAACCCAACAGGACATTTTTTTAATAGGTGAGATAAGCCCATTCACATGACTCATATGTTAGTATCCAATACCATCATTTTATTGTCATTATTGTATTATACTCTATTTCTCTACTTTGTACCCAATACCATTATTTTATTTTATTTTATAATTGTTGTATTATACTCTATTTCTCTACTTGGGTCTTTGCCTTTTTAGTTCTTTTGATATTTAGCAAGATTTGTATTTTTGTTCCAGTTATTTCCATTTCTCTTTATTTTAAAAGTCCAATCATTTTATTAGAATATGTCTTGGAGCTGGCACTGTGCAGGGTTCGCTTTTTTGGTTGTTTTTTTTTTTTGAGACAGAATCTGGGTCTGTCACCCAGGCTGGAGTGCCATGGCACAATCTTGGCTCACTGCAACATCTACCTCTGGGGTTTAAGCAATTCTCCTGCCTCAGCCTCCTCAGCAGCTGTGATTACAGGTGCCTGCCACCATGCCCAGCTATTTTTTGTTGTTGTTGTACTTTTAGTAGAGACAGTGTTTCGCCATGTCAGCCAGGCTGGTCTCGAAGTCAACCTCATGATCCTCCCGCCTTGGCCTCCCAAAGGTGTAGGGATTGCGGCCATGAGCCACCGTGCCTGGCCTTAAGGATTCATTCACCTTTTCTAACTACTTAGTATTTTCCCATTATTATTTCTTCAGTGTCTTTATTAATGTTTCCTTTGAATCTATTCTTCCTTTGGCATCCTGCAATTTAGTCTTCCTTTGTAATATCGTTCTGTCGTTTTCATCTATTCCTCTCCTGAGTTCATTCAACTTTATTTCTTTTTTTATTATTTGTGCATTTGTTACTTTTAAAATTTTAGATCCAAGGTTACTGAAGCCCAGATAAATAATTATACTTATTTTCTTTTAGGTTTTTGTGTCAAAATGTTCTACATTAAGCCAATTAAGTATAAAGGTCCTATTAAGAAGGGAGAGAAACTTGGAACTCTATTGCCCCTGCAGAAAGTTTATCCTGGCATACAATCACATGTGCACATTGAAAACTGTGACTTGAGTGATCCTACTGCATACCTGTAAATGGAAGGCAAATGGTCAGATCTTCAGAATAAAAATCATCTTCTTAAAAACCTGGATGTATATCCTGCTCTTCAAGAAATTGGTGTTCACAAAGGATTAAAGCTTGACGGGATGGATACTCCATTTTCCATGATGTGATTATAATACTTTGCATGCCTGTATCAAAACATCTCATCTACCTCATAAATATATATATGTACCCACACAATTTTTTAATTAAAAAAAAGAATTTGAGTTTATAGAAACTTGATAAATGCAAGAAAGAAACATTTTAACTCATTGTCACTCTGATGTTCAAGAGAACTGCTTTATTCAGGCTCTTTGAATTTTCTGTCACCTATGGAATATGGGTGGTTTTGTTTTTTAGATTTATCAGCCCCAAAGATCTAAGATAAAGAAACAAGGAAACTTAAGCTGGGCCAGGCTGCATTTCTGACACCCTTAAAACTAGCGACCTTTCTGCTTAAAAATAAAAAGCCTATGGTACAAGAGCAGCAAGTGGTTTACAATGCCAGATGTAGTATACATTTAATACATATTCAGTGAATAAGTTGAGTTTAGGTGGTGGACTCTCAGCAATATCCTTAGGTTTATCATATTGGCTGGAGAGAGAGCTGCTTTCATGGATAATACAGGATTTGCTGGTATTTCCAGTCACACTCTCCCACGTGGTTACGAATGATGGCAGTTCAAGAAAACATTCCAGATTTCAATGAGGCTGCACTACAAGAAGGACTAGAATGAGAACGAGGCCTACCTTATCTGAAGTGTCTCATGGAACCCGGCCTGTCAACTTCATCTAGCCATATGCATACTACAGCTGCTTATTTCTATACATCGTTGTATGTCTATGTTATTCTGTCTTAGTTATATTGACAACAGGTACTAAGAGGAAACAAGACCATACAAATGTCCAAGGGACCAGAAATAATTCTGGCTCCTTAGAGTTTAGCCAGTCAGTTGAACTAATGAATAAGTTGAACTAATCACTCCGGAAACTTTCTTCATGAATTTCTGCTTAAATTTGTTTGGAATGAAGAAAATGACAGCAGAATGATTACATTCTTACGTGTAGATTGTTAAACATAATTAAGTGAAGTGTATTATTAGAGAAATGGTTGCATTTGTGCATCAGGACATATGTATAAGAATGTTCATGATATCACTATTTTTCATAGCAAAACCTTCAACGACCTAAAAGCTCATCAATAGTGAAATCAATAAATAATGTCAAAATTATATAATGTAATAGTTGACAGCAGTCATGATAAATGAACTCCAGGTAAACATAACAACCTGAATGAATCATAGCAATATAATTTTAAGTTTAAAAATTTCAAAGAGGGCCAGACGTGGTGGCTCATGCCTGTAATCCCAGCACCTTGGGAGGCCGAGGCGGGTGGATCACGAGGTCAAGAGATCGAGACTATCCTGGCCAACATAGTGAAACCTCGTCTCTATTAAAAATACAAAAATTAGCTGGGCGTGGTGGCATACGCCTGTAATCCCAGCTACTCGGGAGTCTGAGGCAGGAGAATTGCTTGAACCCGGGAGGTGGAGGTTGCAGTGAGCTGAGATCATGCCACTGTACTCTTGTCTGGTGCCTGGCAACAGAGCAAGACTCTGTCTCAAAAAAAAAAAAAAAAAAAAGTTCAAAAGATTACATAACACATGATACTCTTTTATAACGTTAAAACAGTTAAAATTAAAATACAACACAACACTTTCAGCCTTTTCAATCTCTGTGTTTTATCATACAGCATAAAATTGGGGTTTGCTTTTCAACCCAATAAGATATTTTTTAATAGACAAGCCCATTCACATTAATAGATATGACTCATATATTTGTCCCAAATACCTTTTCCTTTTTATATAATAAAATTATATAAAAATTTTTATGTAATATATAAATTTTATATAATAAAATTATATAAAAAGGGAAGCAAGAAAATAATGAATCCTAGCGAACTCATGACTAGATGTGGGGGGGGCCACATAGAAAGATTTAAATTACTATCAATGCTGTAGTTTTGCAGTTTGGAAGTAATTGCATGGGTAGTTATTCTTATGAATAACATGTTACAGAAGCAACAGGACTTGCAGGTGGGTGGCCAGGAAGAGAGTGAATGATGACTCTCAGATAGTTGAGAATTCTACGTCACATAATTTGCACCTTCTTATACCTATTAGGTTGGTGCAAAAGTAATCGCGGTTTTTGCGGTTACTTTCAATGGCAAAGTATATCTAGCATTGTCTGATTTGAATAGGCATCTCCTTGGTACCAAATAACTTTAGGTTGTTTCCAGAAATTTGCTTTCAAAAAATAAATGCTGTGCTCCATTGAGGACACCCAAAAAGGAAATAGCACATCAGCTCTTCGAGGCAATTTTAAAAGAAGCTCTAAAATATGTGCACAATAAAATCTATGCTTAGTTTTCCAAATAATAATCCTTATGATTATTAGGAGGCAAAACACAGATGGATATGGATATGGCTTTAAAAACTAGACTTATGACCTGGAATGGAGAAATTCTCAAGGTAGAGCAGGAACTCTGCCTTCCCCTTGGCATTCTCACATCAGCTCAATGGAAATGCAAACTTGGGGCCAATGGACTTCTTTCTCAGGAAGAACTGGAATACAGCGCCCTCTAGTGCAACAAATCCGTGTGGTTTTTTTCTCCGTCTTTAAGGTTTAGATGTCAAACGTTTGGCTTAAGTATAAAAATATTACAAAGGTTTGAATGACAGACGAATAACAGTATGAAGAAACTTACTTTTCGTTAGTAACCATGATGATAATATATACTTTAAAAACTGTGGTATCAGATATTCTGTCAGGTTTGATAGGTACACATTAATAATGTGAATAAAATCAATATTTATTTTGAAAATGTTTTGAATTATCTGCAAGAGGTAAATTTAACAGACGAAAAAGGAGAGACATGGCCAATTTAAGAGGCCAGATGACAAAGGGAAGAATCTTTGCATCCATTCGACAACATTTATCATACTCTGTGGCATAGCACAACAATCACACACCTGTTTCCTCTGCACTATGTTATTCATAATAATAAGTACCCATAGAAAATCGGCTTGCCTCCCGACTAACCTCTCCCATATTCTGTGCAATACTAATGAGGCCAGCAAGGATCACAGGGAAGGAAACACAAAAAATATAAGCATCCTATTTTTGTATTTCTTCAGTACAACCTACAATAAGACCTTTCCCCCATTCTCTCCCTTTACCAAGTTTTTGCCCACAAAATTATACAGATTTCTCCAGAATATTCTAACAAATGCAAATGTTTTTAACATGAAAAAGTTTGCTTACAGAACTCAAATATTCTTCAAAGACTAAAGTTTGAAATCCATCTGATGTCAAACTTCTTTATCTAGAATCCACTGGTTTTAAGTAAATAGTACTTTTAATATACTTCCAAAGTAAATAGAGACATTTTCATTAGATGAAACATTAAAATTACTCTATAAGTTCTTATCTTGCTTTGGTCTGTTATAGTCCCCTATTAACATTTTATGCTTCCATTTGCTTACCCAGTAAGTCAGGCCTACCAGAGAAATGTACATGAGTTCATGAACTTAGAGTACTCTGAGTTTTTCTCTAAGATTCATTATGATGCTCAGTTCACTAGGTTCAACTACTGGGCCACTAAAAAGCATGATTTAGAGCAGCAACTTCTCATACTATGCAAAAGAGGCCAATGGTACTCATCATCTCTCCATGCTAGTCGGCAATGGGGAGAAACTCACCCCCAACCTCCTTTCTCTAGCTCCTCTCTGTTTTGCTCTATTATGCTCAGTGCAAATTCCACTGGCATTCTATCACCTGACCATTCCGGTATGTATATTCCCAACCCCTCCTAGAATATGTCATGATAGAGTGATCCCAAGTGAGACCAGAGGCTTATCCCTTCAGAATGCCCACCACTGCTCTGATCTCCAACTCTGACTCTGTTAAGCTATTTCTTTTGCTGGTCCTCGTATCTTAATCAGCTTTTTTTTTTTTTTTTTTTTTTTTTTTTTTTTTTGTGCTGGAGTCTCATTCTGTTGCCCAGGCTGGAGTACAGTGGCATGATCTCAGCTCACTGTGACCTCCGCTTCCCAGGTTAAAGCTACTCTCCTGCCTCAGCCTCATGAATAGCTGGGACTACAGGCATCTGCCACCACGCCTGGCTACTTTTTTGTATTTTCAGTAGAGGTGGGGTTTCACCATATTGGCCAAGCTTTTCTCAAACTCCTGACCTTGTGATCCACCCACCTCGGCCTCTCAAAGTGCTGAGATTACAGGCGTGAGCCACCACACCCAGCCCCTGATCAGGTTTTAAGTCCCCTATTATATGTTGCTTTTGTATCCTCCTGAAATCTTAAAGTATAAATTATATGATCTGTAATTGTTATATCATCCAGTCCTCAAAAAACTATATTTTATTAAACAGTAAAATCAGCTCCACTAGCATTTATGGAGTAGTTACTAATGCAGCAATACTATTCTGAGAGGGAACACAGGTAGACATGAGAAGCCTTAGAGCTTACAGTGAGAAATAACATGGCACAGTGGTGAGAATGTACACACAAATATAGTCTCTCTAAATACAGGGATATAGAAGTGCTATTCTTTAAACTGCCATTTACATATCACATTGTATTCTAATTGCTTAATAGGTAAAAAATACTTAAATTTTTTTCCTAATATCCCAAACTGGAAAGTGATAAACATATTTAATTCTCTCTCTTTTCATTTTAATTGATTTTTTTTTTTTTTTTGAGACGAAGTTTCGCTCTTGTTACCCAGGCTGGAGTGCAATGGCGTGATCCCAGCTCACCACAACCTCCGCCTCCTGGGTTCAGGCAATTCTCCTGCCTCAGCCTCCTGAGTAGCTGGGATTACAGGCACGCACCACCGTGCCCAGCTAATTTTTTGTATTTTTAGTAGAGATGGGGTTTCACCATGTTGACCAGGATGGTCTCAATTTCTTGACCTCGTGATCCACCCGCCTTGGCCTCCCAAAGTGCTGGGATTACAGGCTTGAGCCACCGTCATTTTAGATTTCTTAGACAATTCAGATACTGTGGGGGAACTTAGGGGAACAAGCTTGAAAACCAAAGTACTTAAGTAAAATTTATTGAGTGCTCACTATGTGCTAACTCCTAGCATGGCAGATTTTGGGGATAAAACAGTGAGCAAAAACCAGCAGTGATCCTGCACTGATGGAGTTTACAGTGCAATGGAACAAACTGGTAAAAATCAGACCAGTCAATGATGAATTCTAACAGGAATAAGTGCTGCACAGAAGAGCCAGGGTGCTGAGTGCACAGCACAGAGGGCAAAATGTGGACCTGGCTTATGAGCAGGGAATGGACCGGGTGTCCAGGAGGGCTTCCATGATCAAGGACACACAGCTAGAGGAAAAATCTGAGGAGCACAGAGAGTATGCCAGGCAGAAATAGTTAGGTGCAAATTCCTTGTGACTAGAGGGTGCAGGACAGTTCCAAGGAACTGAGAGCAAGTGGGAACCAAAGGGCAAGGGACAGCTTGATGGGAAATGAGGCAAAAAAAGCAGGGAGGGACCAGGCCTTGCAGGACCTTGTGGGTTGTGTTAAGGATAGATCTTCACCCTCAAGACAATAAGCAGCCACTAAGGAGTTCTGCCTGTGTTGCGAATTAAATTCTAAGACCATTTATGCAGAGCATCTGGCATAGTCCTAGATCCATAGCAGTAGGCAGTGAATGCTGATTCCCTCCCAGAGGCATCCTACAACATTTACTGCTTTATCCACATAGTCTACCAATTAACAATCAAAATGAGTATCTCTCGTATTTTCACACCAGTATCAATGCGAAATGAATTAGTATGTTTGAGTTTTAATGCAACGTCCATTATCTCTCAATATACAAATATAATCAGCCTTTGATATCCAAAGGCTCTACCTCTGAAACCAAAT